ATCAATCTACTGCACAAACTTCTGCCCTCGACCATAATTATAATGGTATACACGTAATAGAGAGTTCGTATAGAGAGTTGGTATCAATTCGAAACCGTAACCAGAGACCGCCGATCATCTGGTACTTCGAATCAACCCCGGAAATCAATTACCGTTTTGTTCGACGGTAGCGCGTTACAATAGGATGTAACTTTTGGTTCGATAATATCGTCGGTCGGACGGCAGGCCACACAGAAGGCGGCGTTATATAATTTAGCCGGTTTTCCTTTGATTTCAGTGGTGTTTGATCTGGCGCTCCGCCGTCGCGCTAATGTTCTCCTGCGAGTTTACGCGGCACACAGTGCACACAATCTCGGCGCATATTTGCGCATCCGGCGGAGCAAGTGCGCCTCGCCGAGGTGCATCATCGTTGTTGCATTGAATGCTTGGATGTTCCGCGTCATTTGTCGTCAAAGTTGATTGCGGTGACAGACCAAAGTGTACGTATCGTCGCGTCGCGTCCACGACCAAGGGAGAAATTGTGGGACCTGTTCCGAGATTACGTAGATTTATGGCCTTCCTCCTGGCTCGTGGAGTCTGCGAGGCTTCGCGAGTCTTTGCTCGGTTTTCGTAAATTTCGAGGTTTTCATAAAGCGATTTCTGACGGTCAGAAGTTGGTAATTTGACATTTATCCGAATTCATATATTTCTGAATGCTATTAGAAAGATTGATTTTGAAGAAAAATCCGCTGTAGTCATTAGATATTAGGTTGTAACATGTAACGACTAGTTTTACAAACCAGGGTGACATTATCTGGAATTTAGTGATTAAAGCTACTGATTAGATATTTATTTATTGGTAGATTACAAAATCTCATCCTGCAAAGTTTGTTACTTTGAAAAATACAATAAAAGAAATAGAATCCAAGTGGAAAATTTTTGTGCTTACTGAATTTACTATAAATGCACAGAAATCCGTAATTATAAAGAGATTAAATATTGTCTATATTGAAGATAATAAATTTGTAAATATATCATTTATTTTTAAAATAAAATATTTTGTTGTAAGTGTAATTATATATTTAATTATTAAATAGTTATATTGGTGATCGATTAATTTTACGATGTTTTGGTTGTTTTGCATTAAGAGATTTAATATTTTCTATATTGTAGGTAATAAATTTGTAAATATATCATTTTGTATTATATCCGTATTTAATTATTATTTAAAGACCGAAGAAACGCAATGCAATTGGTGTTCCGTCGTTCGTTTCATCATAAAATGGTAGTTTGTGTGTCAAAGCGATCCGAGTGCTTCCTTTTAGGAAGCTTTGAACTTTGAGCCAATGCAATAAGAGTTGACCGTAACGTTGATATAGATTCTCTACCTAAAATCTACCTTAGGAAAAAAAAAATATTCCGCCGTTTCGATGTAAAGAAGTTAGATTGGAAAAAAAAACATACCAATAACGAGATCAACTATATATTCTAATTGTAACTTTATTCTATGATTAACAAAATCTGAATCCGCCGAAATATATTTGATTACTATTTAAAAAAAAGAAAAGTACACGGAATATTTTACATAGTTTCGTGTAATACGTGTCTTCTCGGTACTCGAAGCTTTTAAAACAAATTTTCCAGAAAAGAATTTATCATCTAATGATATTGTCATTTGAAATATGAATTCAGAATCCTTCGTCAGAGATACTCTCTGAGAACACTATAACACAGCGTGTTGTTTCCCTGAAAATTGTATCTTCTTTCTCCAGCATGTACGTAAAACGTATCTATGATGTACGTAAAGACGTACTTATGATTTTCATGGAAGAGGGATTTGCTGTTTTTCGTAGAACTCGCATTCAATACCCGTGAAGAAAGTAAAGTACGATTCAACTTTTTTCTGCAAAGACGTACGATCCCTTTGTAATAGAAATCTACGGTATCTCCTGAATAAGATTCATGGCCCCTTGAAAATCCAAGTCAACGATCTCCATTGAATGTGTATCCACTTTGTTGCACGACATCGGCTTTCGTCTTTTTTTTTTTTTTGCCGTTATTTCGATATCCGTTAACGTTTGCTGTCGTCGTTGGAGAAATGAATCTCAGCGAGCAAGATAATGAGCACACGCGGCGGACCACGTCTGCAAAATGTTATTGTTAATTTTCTAGCTGTGGCTCGGTGGCTGTTGGCCGACGACGACGTTGAAACGACACCGCTCTTTGCAGCCCTTGGCTTCGTTTACGCTCGTCGTTTAAGTCGCGGCCAGTACACCCTCGTTATCTCTCGACAGATGTGTTTACGGAGCATGCCAACTATCTTTCATCTTGACGTTCGCCGTGTCCACGCTGTGATTAATTTCCGCGAATCACCGGTGACGTTTGGTACGAAAGGATTTTAAATAAAAATGAATTCTATTCCTGACATTTCATTTGTATCATTGGGAAGTATAACAAAATTTTCAACTTATTTAACTCGTTAAGAGCCAATGTTGCGCCAGTGCAACACTTCGCTTGCAATTCTTTTCAATCAATACTATACTACGTAAATTGTATTTTTTAACATGGGAGCATACAATGATTTCTATAATGTTATAATATTGGAATAAATCGTTGTTTGACAGTACTTTCCTGTCGTCAAACAACTTTCTCGAATTTGAAAGATCGTAATTTGTCATTTCAATTGAGACTGAATTGAAGTTGATTTGGAAATAAAAATTTGAGCATCGCGGCAGAGGCGAGCTTTACGGTCAGATATCAAAGTTTCGTACGTGCGAGTGACTTCGCGAGCGAATTGATAGAAATCTGTGAAACTAAAAGTCTGGAACCTCAGTCAAGATGAAGCGGATATCACAGTTTTGGCTCAGTTTCTATCAGTAAATGTAAAACACGGTGGCACGCGTTCCCGAGTTTCAATGCGTCAATCAGCGCCGGTTTAATTGAAGAGCTCACTAAATATCGCATAGGTTGCTGTGACGATTTTCCTGCATCAGAAGGACTCCGTGTCGACGTGGAATTTTCAAAACTCCTCGTCCAACTATCTCGTTTGTACGACTATATCCTTTGACCCGACTTCCACTCTAGCCTCGCATTTGAAGTAAGAGCCTGTTAAGAAGCCTTACTAATGACTCCACTAACAGACTCTGGACGAAATCTAATCTCTTTCCTTTCCATTCTCCTTCGTCCTTCTATCTCTGCTCTCTTCCTTCTCCTCCTCGTTACTGACGTCGTGCTGTTGTTAGAAATAAAGATTAACATTCATCGTTTTATGTACGTCCAATTGTTTTGTCATTTCAATTCCTCTCTCTTTTAAACGAAATTCTCTCATAAGAAAAGAAAGTTGATCTTCTAATGGACAGGATTTCTTCTCTAACGAAAACGAACCACTTTTTACTCTCACTTTGTCAGAAAAGGCTTTGCGAGGAATTTTTTCTAAACTGCGACTTTCGGAGAAATTAATTTTCTACTTGATAGAGAGTTCTAAGTGAAAGAGATGTTCTTTAGTTCCACTATGTTAAAAATTGTTTCGGGAAACATTTCTTTCCGTTTAAAATTCTTGCGCAGAAGAGAAAATTTACGAGAAAACTTCCATTGTGTTGCAGATTATTTCGGAAAAGATTTTTTCCAGTTAAAATTCTCACGCGAAAGAAAGAAATTGATTTTTTACTTTTACATTACATATTAATTTTCTGTTCGACATTCGACGAGAACGAGGTATTGCTGTTTCCATTACGTTAACGATTGTTCCGCGAAAAATAATTTTTTTCAACATTCTCTCACGTGAAGGAAAGAAATTAATTTTCTTCTCGATAGAATTCCGCAAAGCGTTTTCTGCACTCGTATTGTTCGAAAGATCTTGGTGAAAATATAATATAATATAAAATACGATAGAATATATAATATAAGGTAAAATTTTGTACCGTAACATTTGCGTTTCAACGATGTGTGTATATCTACTTAAGCGGATTAGTACAAGGGGGACAAAGTATCGGCAGTAGTGTTTCGACCCTCACACGAGCAACACGGAACGGCGCACCATCTTGTTTACGTTTAGAGTGAATATCATTCTGTATTATACGTTCTAGATTCTCGTTACTTGATTTTTACTCTACGATTTATTCTCCTCGCGTTTCATAATATAAAATTTGAGAATACGGTATCGTAGAATATAGAATACGCTCTCTTAAACAATAATATGGGTCGAAACGTTATTTCTTTCTAAGTGTCGTGACAAATTCTACACGTGTACACGTAAGAATTGATTTCGTGTTCGTGTAAGACACAAGTAAGTTGTATCTATTTCTACGCATAACGTGTGTCTATAATTAATCTATATTTTCTTTCTTAAAACGTTTAATGATACCGTACAAAGTTTCCACATTCAATTTTGCATGTGTTAGATATATAAAAGGTTTTGAAATTTCATTAACATTATAAGGGAACGCAGGTTTGCATTGATTGATGATTATAATCAACTTAAATATTTATTGCAAATATTTGCAATTGGTGAAGACATAACGTGCAACGAATATAGATAGCCACCTTAAATAAATATTAAATAAAATTCCATTTTCACGAAATATTAAATGCTTCCAAGTAACTTTTACGTATATTTTCCAAATTTATAATTGTAATAGTTTATTCTTGCAATTAAACTACGAGTTTTTATCCGAATTTGTATGAGTGCAAATTTGAATAAAATACAGATTTTCTACTCTTATTAAAAACAGTTGCAGCTACAATGGATGTTGAACTTGCATTTATGTTTACATTCTATATATTTTTGGGTAGTTCAACGTATTTCTATGTATTTTATTGTATCACTGCGTAGTTATAACTTCTCTAAATTTCGTTTAGAATGTATTATAACCACGTGTTGTAAATGCGCAGAAAATGTTTACAAGGATTAATGAAATTTCAAGGTATCTCGCCGCAACGTGCACGATATAGACACGTATATTTATCAAGCCAGTGTAACCTTTCCAGAAAATAACAAAAAGTCGTCAATTTCCAATTTGTAGATACGCAGTATCTTTCTCGCCAGCGAGGTAAACAACAATACGACACGTCGTGCTCCAAGCCAGCTCCACGCGATAACTTTCTCACCTTCGAATAAAGCGAACGTTCGTACCAGCAACGATTACGCTCGCATGCCGGACAAAGCAGCTTCTTTATGGAGAGAACGGCGAACGCCGCACCCTCGGTGAGTAACGCATCGCATCGCATCGCGATCTCGATTCCGCGGTACCGCTGGGGCGTTCGACGCTACCGGAAATTGGAAAACATTGGTTATCGGACGGATCTCTCGACGATTTTACGAGCTCGACCCCCCCGGTTTCGGGGGCGGGCGTTTGACCATCGAACGGCCATCGCCGATGATAACGTTGACAGCGTGGATGAAGCGTCTCGCTCCACTTGGAGTTCTCGTTCGAGCGCGTAAGTCACGCAATTTTGTCTGCATTCACGGCGGCGGGAAATCCGGCTGTCGAAATCCGCGACCGCGTGAATCCTTCGCCCACCGCTGAACGACTCGTCGCGTAATTTGTTTGGCCAATTAAAATGTAAAGCAGTCGTCCACGCAGAGAATAAACGTCGGTCTCGTTTTAATTCGCCTTAATCGAGCGACGCGGTTTGTTTCCCCGGTTAGTGCTAATCTTGTACGAAGAGGACTCTTCGTTGACAAAGGAATGAATCGGATATGCGATCTCTATACACACGTTTCATTCGTGACAAATATTCCGCGAACGAGAGTCGGTGGGTTTTAAAAAAGGAAATAAAAAGAATTTTTCTCAGCACATTTTCTAGTTTCTCTAGTTTACGTAGAAAAATTATATTTTATAGGAATATCATTTACGTTATAATTTATAGGAATATCATTTTTATTTCCTTCTCGTATTATTTTATATATTTATATAAAAATTTATGTATTATATTGTATATTTATTATCGTTTAAATTACGCTCCTTTACCCTTAACGTGTAAAGCAAAAACAATTGAATTTGATCTCTATTGCACTTGAACGCAAGTATGTACATAGTGACGCTATTCAATATTAGTTTGTGAAACTTTCTATAGCAGTTGTGTAAGTTTCAACGTCGATAGTGCTTAAGGGTCGAGAATTATGTATTAATCGTCGAATTTCTTAGTATAGTCTTTTATCCAGTACATTAATGTACGTCTCAAAGGGGAACTTCAACATCTTATGATATTTTACTACGTGAAATAACAATAACTAGAAAGAAACCTTAAATCCATTAAAAGTATATACTTAGTTAGTTCAAAAACAAATTTACTTCAAAATGTACATTAGATGAGAATAGTTTCAAAACAATGAATGGTTAATTAAGTAAGATACTCGCGTTAATTAAGTAAGAACCGTACAACCGTCGTTTAATTATTCTATATTTTTGCCACAGACAGAACAATCCCTCTCGCGAGAATAATTATTTCAAGCGTCGTTGTTCATTACATTAATATGTTGATTTCTCCGGGCATTCCATTTACGCGGCGTATTTATTTCTGGTTCCGATGCGTATCTAATCCTCGAGCTTTCGTTTACATTAATTCACAAACACCGGCTATCCTCGGTCCACCGTTCGCTCGGTATCGTTACATCGAATAATCTGCCGGCCTCGGCGAAAATATAAAATCATCGCCGAATGGAAACGAAATCCGATTAATTTTGAATATTAATTCGCGTAGGATTAACGTTGTCCGGTTGCGCGAGCCGTTCGGTTTTAATCTAATTTTAATTGAATCGCGATCCTTCTAACGCGCGCGCCACGACCGATTTTCATGCCGCGCGCGCCATCAACAACAAGCCGCGCGTACGATTTCTTCCTTTGTTTCCTTCTCTCCTTCTTTTCCTTTCTTTCTTCTTCTCTCGTTCTTTATATACCGAGCCTTTCACGCGTAGTTCCGACGGCTACTTTTCTCAAACATCAGCGGGCGCTCTACGCGCAGAATTCGCTACAAAGCGGCAAACAATACGAACGAGACAAAGAGGGAGGAGAACTGAGGCTGGTAAAGAGCTTTGAAAGTTGCTCTAAAAGCTGTTGAGTCGTTGCGCTAGTCCGAACGGGCACGGGGAACAAAAATTCTGCGAAACTGCACGGTAATTTGGGAGCACGACGTTTAATATTCGTAATCAACTTTTCGCGAATTACCACCGAACGAATTCCGCGATTCTTTCACGTTTAAGTGCTATACTTTCGAATATATACACCTCTCACACGCTTGTACACGCGTGTGTTTCTTGCATAATTTTTAATTTTAATTTTTGTAACAGTAATCCCTTTAGCTCTACCGTTGTAATATTACCTTTGCCGAAGTTTACGTGTATAATTTCTTATGCAGCAGGTACAAAAATACAGTCTTTTTCGGAATTTATAAACGCTTATAGAGTAATAAAATAACGTTAGCAGAATAATAGCCAATGTAATAAAACTGTAGGATAATAAAATGAAAATTGAAACTAATTTTATGAATAAGTAGTATATCTCAAGGAGAGTCAGGAACAAAAGATTGGAAAATTCATTTTGACGTGTCAGTGATACTATTTATAAAATTGCTAAACAAAATTCATCCAACTAAATTGTTACTCGTTCCACTGTAGTTTGTTCTTGTAATAATAAACAGGGGTTTGAGGGGTTGAAACAATGATCGATTCTTTGGAATTCATCGTTATCGTGTTTACTTACTTAATAAGACGAAAAGACAAAAAAGAAAGAATACTCGAGGGCAACGATACAATTAACAATTTAATCAGTCACTTTAATTAAAAGTGAACGCGGATGACGCTCGTTCCTCGAAGATTAACTCGCGAAAATACGCAGCTGCCTGGAGTTTCATTATCGCGGCCGAAACTCCGAAATCTTGTAAATTACGCGAGCTTACGGTCGAAATTCCCGACTGTAAAAGGAACGAGTGCAGGAACCGCATTCCCGAAGTATTAAGGGAAAAAGAAGCGGCGCGCCGGATGGAGCGAAAAAGGAGGATCGAAAGCGTGTGGTCGAGAAGTGGGAGGAGGAGGAAGAGGAGAAGGAAAAGGAGCGAGAGAGCTGGCACCCGATCGATCGACGGAGGCCGAGTTTCATCGCCGTTCCTTCGTCGACTCCGTATCGGCGGAAGGCCAGGCCAATTACCAGGACGATTCGCATTTTGCCTTGGGTGTATTATCAAATGGCGTTCGATAGTTAGCCTTCCATTTCTTCGATCTCGCTTGATGGAAACTCCCTTCTTCGTGGTACAAAAAA